AAAACAACTCGGTAACATCATTAAAACAGTTCTCGTTCGAAAAGTTGAAAATTTAAACTTCAGAAAACGCCATGTTTCACAATAAGAGATAAAAGGAAAAGAGCCCCACAAATTAAAATAAAAGATTTCCTCCCAAACTCGGGAAACTGTTTCCCGTATAGCTGAAGATAATGAAGTCCAGTTTCCTATTCCGTTTTCCCAGACGCTATTACGTTTCTGACCCTGACCATTGTTATATAAAGCTGATAAGCACGCTGTTCTCCCCCAGAAGTCTCAAACAATGACGGACTTTTAGATAAGGGAGACATATTTAATAATTTTCTGTGTTTCTCAGGCTTGCAAAGGAGAACATTGTTGGAAATTGTTCGAAGCTTTATCATTGAAATGGAGTAGAAATAATGACTAAAATAAGGATAGATATGAGATATGAGTGACCAGTTTCAAAAGGATTATAAAGCCATTTTAGTCCTTAGTCATAAGATGTTTGCTGCGATTTTATCATGGACTACATTATAGAAATATGTGTATATTTTTGGTGTTGTCATGTAGCTTTATTACTACAATATAATAATATATTAATAATAATTAAAATAGAGATGGATATAAAATAGGAACAACCAGTTTCGAAAGATGCAACCTTTTAAAGAGTTTTCTACAATTTTATCATGAATTGTGCATACATATTGCATGCAAGCAAACTTATATACATATATTCATACAACTTATATACATGTTACTCAAGCATATAAGTTGTATGAATATAATATAACTATACTTATACACATATCTTATATACACATAACTTACGTACACGTTATTCTTGTATATAAGTTGCATGAATCGAATATAACTATACTTATATACATATCTTATATGCATATAACTTATATACATGTATATAAGTTTATACTTATAAACAATAAGTATCTAAGATATATGCATGTTATTCAACTTATATACATGTTATTCATGAGGTTTTGCATGTTTTTGAAACTGAACCGAAAAAAATGACATTTTTAATAGTTCCAAATGTTACTTCCTGGTGTAAAAACGCCGTTGCTATTATTTCTTTTATTGCATAGATGTAAATAATTCGAGTTAAAGAATCCACTGTGAAGTTATATACTTTTTTTTAATCGAACCGAATAAAATTTTTTTTTAATAGTTGAAAATTTTTATCCAATTCACTTGTTACCACAGCATTTAGGTAGCCAATCGGAGCATGGTAAACTCAGTAGAAAAGTTAGTTGCAAGCAATCCATTTCAATTTCGACGTTTAATCAGACAGAAAAAAAACACGAAAACCAATAATTCGTAAAAGATATTGGAGAGCTGAAAAGCTATTCTTCTTCAAAGCAGCGTTTCTTGATAGAATGTCGAAGGCGTACTACTCACATCAAGATTGATAACAGAGAAAGATTCGATCGGTTCCTACTATTTCGTTCGCTTATTTCCCGTTCTCCTGTTACATTGAAATGAAATACCAAAATGTTGCACGAAACAAGTCTTCTTTGAATCTGATACCATTTTTTTAAAATTGTATTTTAAAAAATTAAATTTTCAAATTCGAATTTTTAATACTTTGATGTAGAAAACTTTAATTCGTTGCTAATTATATTTTAATAACGTAAGCCTAAATAATTTGAGTTGACAATTTTTTTTAATTTCACACGTATTAAGAATTGAACCGAAAAAATAAAGTCTTCCTCCCTTAAATATTAATTTTTTTGTTATCTAATGTGTGAACCTTTCTTTTCATTTTTGATAAAGATTCTATTAATAAATATTGATGATGTCTACCACGAAACACTCCAACGAGTAAAGACCAATGTATCGCTTTTAACTATGGCTTCTCATCTATAGCTTTTTACGAAAAGAAACTACATTGGAAACCAGGTTGTCAAAAACTAAAAATTTTTTTAGTTCATCATTATCTAAGTTCATTAGATAAATTCAGTATTAAAAATGCGAATTCTTGAATCACTGAAAGAATTAAGGAGTAAATATTGATGATGTCTACCACGAGACACTCCAACGACTAAAGAGCAATGTATTGCTTTTAACGAAGGCTTATCTTCTATAGCTTTTTACAAAAAGAAACTACATTGGAAACCAGGTTGTCAAAAACTAACAAATTTTTTAGTTCAGAAGTATCTAAGTTCATTAATATAAGTTCAGTATTAAAAATATGACTTCTAGAATCACCAAAAGAATTAAGGAGTACATATTGATGATGTCTACCACGAAACACTTCAACGAATAAAGACTAGTGTATAGCTTTTAACTGAGGCTTCTCTTTCATAGCTGTTTACAAAAAGGAACTACATTGATAACCAGGGTGTCAAAAAACTAAAAACTAAAAAAAAACTTAGTTCAGCATTATCTAACTTTATTATTCTAAGTTCAGCATTAAAAATACGAATTCTTGAATAACAAAAAGAATTAAGGAGTTCAATATACACTATCTATTCTAACAGGGCGAGAGTTACTCCAAATCTTTTACCACATATTTTGGGATATCAATCGGAGAATGGTAAATGTAGTAGAAGAAAACAGTTACAAGCAATCCATTTCAATTTCGACGTTTAATCAGACAGAAAAAAAACATGAAAGCCAATAATTCGTAAAAGATATTGGAGAGCTAAAAAGCTATTCTTCTTGAAAGCAGCGTTTCTTGATAGAATGTCGAAGGAGTACTACTCACTTGGAGATTGATAACAGAGAAAAGATTCGATCGGTTACTGCTATTTCGTTCGCTTATTTCCCGTTCTCTTGTTTCATTGAAATGAAATACCAAAATGTTGCATAAAGAAACAGTCTTCTGTGAATCTGATACCTTTTTTTTTAAATTGAGCCTAAAAAAGCAACATTTTTAAATCTCAAAATAATATATATTTTTTTAGTATTTCATGTAGGAAAGTCTTATTTGTTGCTTTTTATTTTTATTTTAAAACACTTATGTAAAGTTGGAGTGGCAATTTTGAAGTTTATAGACACGTTTAGAATTGAAAGAAAGAGAAATAAAATCTTTAAACTTGCAATAAGTGGAACAGATTTGAATATGTTAAATTGGACGGTATTTTCTGAAACTTACACACATTTTTTAGATTGAACCAAAAAAAGAAACGCTTAATCCTGTTCCAGAATTATTTTACGATTTAGCAGTATCGTGATTATTGTCTGATTCTGATAATAATGACGTCATCAGACTTATTCGTTATTATTTATGTTAAAATTATGTGTGTAAATAAGTCGAGCTGCACTGAATGTAACGTTAATAGAGTAAAAACCTGTATCAGTTGCATTAACAAGAGAAAACACTGATCCGTTTTTTTATAACCATCGTTGAACAGCCGACCCAAGTTTGAGTTTACGAGTACTAATGTTCAACTCCGCAGCCTTGTAATTTTGAACCCAATCCAGAAGACAAGTGAACTCCTGGATCAAGTATTGAGAGGAATTTGTCTTCTTGGAGGACTTTCTGATGAAACTTACCCACATTTGCGTTACATATGGAGAGGAAGACCACGAAAAAGTCACACGGTTAGCCTGATTGCAAGGGGACTCGAATCCGTGATCTGTCTAACACCGAGGAAACTTTATGTTAGCAATGTGGACTGTGCGAATGGGGTGCGGAATTCGTATCGACCAGCCATTTCTGGGATTCGGACCCTGTGCATCTCGTTGGAAGGCGAACGTTCTATCCTCTCGGCCTCCATTTATCAATCTCTTATGTTTAGGGAGATTTTCTCAAGCAATCTGACATTTTATTTTTTGATTATAGCGAACCCGCTACAAATTTATCCTAAGCTTCACTTCTTATATTCAATGATATTAAATAGCAATCTCACAGATTTAACTCAGACGAGACTCGAAATACTATTCGTCAACAAATTTATTTATGCCTGGTTACTTTAATACCAAATATTTTATTTTATATCTAGTGTTGAAAAGCCAACCCATTTCTGAGTTTCTGGTCTCATTCAAGAGACCAGAAAACTTTTTCATAAAAGTTTATGATAGGACAAACCTGTATTTGTATTACACAAAGGGGAAAATCACGAAAATTACCCACAGTTAGTCCTACGGCAAGATGGTTCTAATCTATGATCTGTCTACCACTGAGGATACTTTATGTCAGTTTATGTCTGTGGTCGGTGCGAGCCTTGAGTAAAATTCGTATCAACCTACCAACGTTGAGATTCGAATCTGGATCATCTGATTGGGAGGCGAAAACTCTATCCCTTGAGCCACCGTGGCTCTTACTATCAAATATAGAGATTTAAAATTAATTTTGTCCTGCAGTGGACTGATCGTAAAGACATGGCTCCCAGTGGAACATCGAAGTCAAGCATCACAGTCTGCGGTCAGTAAGCGGGTGGGTGACCACTCTGATCAACCTACGTAGAGACTGAGGGTACGCGATATTGGTCCTCGTAATCTACCGTAAAGTGCCCGACTTCACTCGCAGGTCGTTGAGCTATCAAAGCGATTGAGCCATCCCCTCTGCAAAGGATCAAAATTGTGATGGCATGTCTTCGGATCTTCCTTAGGGATGTTTCCCAGACTGTCGCTAATAGCCCATTGTGCAGCTCTAGTGCTAGGAAAATAAAATACATACATACCTACCAACTTTAAATGCTCACACAAACCTGCATATGTATGTGTTGTTGTTGTTCATTTACGTCGCACTAGAGCTGCACAATGGGCTATTGACGATGGTGTGGAAAACTTCTCTGAGGATGATCCGAAAGCATGCCATCACAATTTTGATCCTCTGCAGAGGGGATGGCACCCCCGCTTCGGTAGCCCGACGACCTGCACGCGAAGTCGAGCACTTTACCGTAGAACAGTTTAACGAGGACCCATACCACACACCCTCGGCCCCTACTCAGACTGATACAAGTGGTCAGCCACCCGCACACTGAACGCATCCAGTGATGCTTGACTTCGGTGATCTGCTAGGAACCGTATGTTAACGATCAGACCAGCGCGGGACGCATATGTATGTGAAACAAACTTCTCATTCTCAACAAAAATTTGTGTGCTCAATATCAAAGAACAACTTATAACCATTTTTAATCCCAAGAACATATATCCAAAATTAGAGAAGAGCATATATCCAGCATCGATCAAACATATATCCAGCATAACGGCGAGATTCGAACCTACTATATCAACGTTACAGAGCATTTGGCGGAGGACAATACCCAAGGTCCTTTGAGCATACATGCATGCATGTGTAATTCGATGCCAAAGGATTAATATTATAAAATGCTATGAATGATCTTCACCAAGTTTTTCCAATAATTCCATTTAAATCATTCTTCAGCAATAGGATGGATATTTTCAACCTTTTACGAACAACTATTTTTTTAACTGGCACGCATCAATCATTCTACATTCTCGTATACAACCAACAATTTTTTAGGATGTACTCGACGTAACTTTTACATTGTAGATAGATCTTTAATTTTAGAATTCCCTGTAAGTAGAATTTTTAATAAAGCAATCTCGTGATTAGTAAGTACACTACATTTTCTGTTAAGAATTAATATCCTTGTTATATGCTAACAAATTTAAAAGAAAAATATTGCTGTGACATTTCTTTTCAATTTAACTGATTAGTTTTAATATTAGCTTTACTTCCTTAAAAAAATGGGCTTTTTTAGAAAGTTCTTTTTTATTGTAATTGCCTGAAAGGTTACTTATAAAGTAATTCAAAATACTTTTTTATTATTTGAAGTTATAGTAGGTTGACCTTTATTTTATAATTTTACAACGTCAATATTTCTTTATTTCAAATCTATCCATCTATAAAAACTATAATTTATTGATTGTCTTGTATTTAATTACAACTTTCTTATAACCTTGATTTTAATAGTTGGCTTTTAAGATCGTATGATGAAACTGTTGAGAGTTAAGTGAATTGAAATTGTGGTGAATAATGCTATTTAAGTGGACACAGGTCGATTAAGACAAAAGTGCAATTATTCACTCAACTTCAATCTTTAATAAAATACTGGTAGCATTAGTAAAACTCTGTGCGCAAAGCTTTAGAAAAAAATAATTATTATTTTTAAAGTTATAGCTAAAAATGTATGTGGTAAAAACAAATGTCTTTTAATTGCTGATAATTAAAAAGTTTTTTTCGAACAAATTTTAATTTTTTAATTAAATTTTTACCCAAATACGTTGTAAAGTGAAGTATAATTATTTACAATACCTTAAAATTACACCAAGTTTTATATAAAATCAAGCTTCGCAAGGTACTTTTTACATATGTTTGGCCATGCTATACAGTCGAAATTATAATTTCATGTGTAATTATTAATCTGAATCGAATATCAAAATTAAGTGAATATGATTGAATGTTGAAGTGTTGTTAAAGATTTAATGTACAAACGTGAAATTTTGTTCATATAACTATTTATGCATCTAATACTGCTATATTAATAAGCAGTGTATGATTCCTACTGATTGTTTCACTGTAAAATAAATGAAATTAGAATTATGTAGATAGAATCAATAGTTTAGAAAGTATTAGTAAGTACAAATTGCAATTTTTGAGTTACATGCTTGAAATATGTCATCTATACTAGTGAGGTATAGTTTTATGTACTTTTTCGGCAAAATGTTGTAAAAACCAACTTAATTGTATAGTACAAAAAATTTAGACAGAATGAGTGCTTTAATGTCACAAAATTATAATTTTTGTATTTATACGGGTTTTGCATAAAACACCAAATTAAAAGCATGTGTTTAAAGACTTCGCAAAATGACCTAATTTGTGTTTTACTGTGGCATAATTTTAAATATAAAAAATTTAATAACTTAAAAATTTCACTTTTTAGTTTCATCTAATGATCTTTCAAGTGTAATTTAATTCGCTATTTATTTTGATTAATAAAGTTCCTCTGCAATCATCGCCCTTAGTTTATATTTTTAGAATTCTTGTCTAAGAGAATGTAATAAATACAAAATTTAAGGGTTGCACTTCAAGGGTAGTAAGCATGATACTAAGTATCCTTTATAAATTTAAAATATAGTATGAAAGAATTAAAATGAAAAATCTTGGGTAAAGAGTAAAAGTTTGATGAAATGAGAGATAGATTTAAAGTAAAGGAATCTTTGACTACCGAGGGGAAAGAAACTAAATAAAAAGAATCTTAATAAAGAGAAACGTGGTCCCAAATGAAAACTGAAAATTAAAAAGATTTTTCGACTAATGTTTCTTTTTAAGCCATGATGCGTCAGGGGATAGAGCTCTCGCCTCCTAATGAGTGGAGGTTTTCGCTGTTTTCCTCTCCATCTAACGCAAATGTGGGTTAGTTCGATCATTTTTTTCTGCAAATTGAATTTCGTAGACAAAAATATTACTTTTAGCAATTTCGAACCAAATGTTTTTTTTCTCTGATGCCAAATAACAAGATGTATAATTCTTAATTTTTTTTTTTAATTTTAGGAGAAAGTAATTGCACTACCAAGTATGGAATCTGAAACAGAACCAGGAAGTTCCAATTTGGGTGCACTAATTGCAGCGCCAATCGGATCTATTGTTGTTCTAGTTGCCTTATGTTATTGCATGTACCGTTGCTGCTGCTGTTGTTGCAGAAGAGATAAACAAGTCATTGTCGTTAACACCACAAACATGGTTCAAGCACAACCCGAAAATCCATCCGTTGTGATTGTAAACAACATGCCACCCACTAGGAGCGAATTCGACAACCCAGTTTACAATCTATCAACTGCTCCACTTTTGACACAAGAAATGTCAACAGCTTCCGATTGGCCTGAAAGAAAGTTTTGATTGCAGTTGCATCGGAAACATATTTGCACAACAAACAATTTGCACTGTTCAATTAAATAGCTTGATAATTCTTGATTTCGTGTAGTGTTTATTTATGTGTGTTTGGAATTATACATGTTTATTCATGTTGTTTAAATCAAAATCTTTCATCTTAGTTATTTGCTTAAAGTATTGTAAATAATTTAAGTTTTTTTATTCTAACTCCATGTAAAATAATTACATGAGGTCTGATTACTTTCAATCTGCGTTTGCTGAATGGTGTTTTTGTATTTTGTTTATTTAAGGATAATCCGTGCATTTGTTATTTTAAATTTTGGTTATTTTTAGCAATAAAATGACAAAAACACCGGAATTGTGATGTCTGTAAATCTTATTGTTATACAGTAATACTTATTTTATTTTGATATTACATTTTAATAATTTGGATCATCCCTCAAGTCGTAAAATTTCAAAATTTAGCTAGATAAAAGTTTAAAGTGAGGACAAAATTAATTTAAACCAATAAATATAAGGTGTTTGTGAGTTACCGTTTTTATCCCTTTGCGTTCAAATTTAGTTAATACATATAGTATTCATATTAGTCGGAATTATTTATGAACCTAAAATGCACAATAGCGAAGAAAAATCTTTCAAAGACTGATAAACGTTATTATATTATATATTTGACGCAAGTTTTCAAGAAAAAGTTTTAAAATATACTGAATATAACATGCAAATTCTACTAACCAAACCCTTTGATGCAGAATTTTCATTAAACATATTTTTTTGTACTTTCTTTTTTTCTATAAAATTATATAAAAACAAGTGAAAAATATTATATTTAGCATTTTACATACAGCATGAAATACCGGTGTCTTTTTATGCGTTAAAAGTAGAATCTTCCAAACACAGCTCACTTCTGAAAAAAAAAATTCCTTCATGTTTGCTGTTATTTAGATGTAAGCGAAAGAGTTATTCATTATTGAAATTTTATTACTTTCAAAAATAATTTTAAAATTTTAAATATGAATGAGAAAAAAAACATTTTTTTTTTTTGGATTTTAAATTTTAGTACAAATAGAATTCTGATAATCTAACAGACGTTTCTAGTATTTTTTAGAGTTTTAAAATTTAAAAAAAATCCAAAAATATATTTTTGCTTGTAATTAGAATGTTATAAAAAAAACCTAAAAAGAGCACGGTGTCGCAACTGCGTCAAAGGGTTAAATAAACAGTATTATTTGATACTATAAAACTAGTTGCGAAATTTCCGTTCTTCCTTGGAGAATGGATATCAAGGGTAGGAGTGTAAATTTTGTCTTGTAAAAATCTTGTATTTTAAATTAAATTACCATATTCTCTGGAATTTAGTTTTTACGCGATACAGATAATGTCACTCTCACTAGAGCCCCTGATAGTATAGGAGCCTTAACTCTCATAATTGACGAAAGACAGCACACAGACTTTTTGAAGATTGAGTCATTTAATGATTTGCCATGAATTCTTATAACCCTTGGGCTGTAATTGACAAATGACATTTTAGTGCTAAAAGGCAGCGGTATACAAAGACTAAATGTTGAAAGTACTTCTGATATATTTATTACAATAAGAGATCAATTCTGATATATTTATTACAATGCACGGATCACAGTTCTCACGTGAAATATCTTGAGTGGTAGACGGATCATGGGTTAGAGTCCCCTTGCCGTCAGGATAACCATGGGATGTTCTCGTGATCTTCCTCTTCATGTAACGCAAAAGTGGGTTAGTTCCAATAAAAAGTCCTCCATGAAGCATATTTCCCCCAATACTCGACCCAGGAGTTCCCTTGTCTTCTGGATTGGGTTCAAAATTACAAGGCTACGGAGTTGAACATTAGTAGTCGTGAACCCATGAAATTGGGTCGGCTGTTCAATGACGGTTATAAAATAAGAGCCTTGATGGCTCAGGGGAAAGAGCGTTCGCCTTTCAATGAGGTGAACCGGGTTCGATTCCCAGCGATAACTGGTCGGTACGAAATCCGCATCCGGCTTGCATTGACCACAATGCTGACGTTAAATATCCTCAGTAGTAGACGATCATGGGTTTGAGTCCTCTTGCCGTAAAGCTAACCGTGAGAAATTATTGTGGTTTACCTCTCCATGTAGCACAAATGCGAGTTAGTTTCACCAAAAAATCCTCTACGAAATTTCTCCTAATACTTGATCCAGGAGTTCACTTGTCTTCTGGATTGGGTTCATGATGACAAGGCTACGTTTTTGAACCTTAGCAGCAGTAAACCCAAAAATTGTGTCTGCTTTTTAACAACGGTTATAAATGATGTATGAAAGATTATGGAAGAATTGAAACTTTATGACAGCCTTATTTTTATATTAATATTGTTACTTTGGAAGAAATGTGATCGGATATTTTAGTTTCAACATTCTTTTCTAGTTTTGATCACCAAAATATTTTTTTAAAACAGCTGTTAAAATTTAAAATTTTTCTCTTCATGATATTAGTGTTAGGTGAAAGTTTTAGTTTGGCTATAATTTTAGAATTGAAATTTCAGAATTATGACCTATAGATTAATATACAGGAAAAAATATAGGCCATCCTGTATATGCACAGAACATAAAAAAGGAAAAAAAAAGGTCATTAATAGAATAGAACAATTCTGCAATATCTAAAGTGACAGATTCTGTACCAAAGCTTTACAAAAGCTTTCACAAAAGCTTGAGAAGCATTGAGAGCATATTATTGAGTAGCAAAAAACAACCCTTCTGTTGCGGCTTGGGTTCAGGTAGATGATAACTTCATAAAAAATGCTTTGTTAAAAAAATATTCACCTTTGATTTTTTAAACTTTGATAAAAAAATTTTTAACTATAAAACAACTGAAAATCTTTTGCAGTTAATTTACCTTTATAAAAATTACATATTTTATAAAAAATTCTTTATAAATGTTTTACGAAGTTTTTCTGCCTGGGATTTAGCTCTTATAAAAATTTTTCGTCTTAAGAAAAATCTGTTCCAATTTTCTTAGGCATAAGTCAAGTTTTTTTTAAAGACTTTTTGCTGACTTTTTTACCTTTTGAAACAGCTGTATCCTGTAAGGAATTTAATGTTAGACTATCTAACTAATTCAAAGGTATTTTAACACTTAAGTTCATTATTTAAGCAAATTACTGATAAGTTGCAGATTTAGATGTAGTGAATATTTACCTAATACTGAAAACACTGTCTTCTGATAATATTTTTCAATCATAATTTTCTAATAAAAGGGATATAGAGAAATAGAATACTATTTCTCTCACATCCATTGTCGTTTTTTTTTAACATTTATCACAAAATCTTTATTTTATATCACTATATGTAGTTGCCAATTCATAAAATATTTCACAAAACAAAATTGTAAAGCTAATTGCAAGGCGTAATAAAAGTGATTATGACTGTAAAATTTTAACAAACATTTAATAGGAGGATCACTTTTTAAATGCTTTTTGTGGAGCTGGAATGCTGTAGTTAATAGTAGTAAAATTTAATTAACTATTTACGAATTTTAACTGAAGAACTATTTTAGAGAGACTGTTTTATTCTTCAGTGGCTACAGGATATATTCATTATAAGGGATGATATATAATTGATAAATGACATAAGTATTTCAATTTTTACTATTAAAACTAAAATGCTCATTTTCGAGGGGAAACTTTCTTTTTTGTGAAAGGATAGTTTTTTTTCATCACAATAAGTTTTGAATAGAAGTATGAATTCAAAAGTGTTTTTCTTCAATTGGTTTATTATGAAATATTTCTTTATAACCTCTGTTCAATTTTATGAATAAATTCAAAAAAACAAAACATTTTTAATCAATTAAATATTTAGAATTTTTTTTACGATATTGAAATATTTTTAATTGAAGTGTGTGTAAAGTCTAAAGACAATTACAGTTTCTGTTCTTGAGACATAAGGAACATAGTTGGGGTTTTCAGTTAGGAATGACCAGCTCTTATACTCTCTGCTTTTAACTTCAAGTTCTGCTTAAATTTCAAATTAGTCAAAAGTCTCAATGATTGAAAGGTTAGTATTTCTTTATGTTTTTTATGAATATTCAAGACGAATTGAATGTATGTTAAACCAGACTCAAAACCTGACAAGAACAATTAACTTTCTTTAAATTTAGATGTCAACATTGTCTCAAGTGATTCGTAATAATTTTTGAATATTTAACATACAAAAGAGGTAAGACCCCAGACAGTCATGTCTAGTTAAAAGTCTAAAGCCGGCCACATCTACTTTTGTAGAGGCATTAGGAGCATTAATTGGGGGTTTTCATGAAGGAATGTCCAGATCTTATCCTTAGATTATCCTCTGATCTTTTTCAAACTTCACTTCAAAGTCGGCTTAAATGTCATATTGGTTATAAATTTCAATGAATGAAAAGGTAGACATTAATTTCAGGTTGCGCATAAGAAATATTATTTCATTAAAAAAATCAATTATATGTCAATCAATTATATGTTAAAAATCAATCTATAATTAAAAAAATCAATTCAGAATATGCTTATGTAAAATAGATAAAGCTTGTTCCATATACTACTTGAATAACCCCTCACGCAATGACTTAAAGATCAGATTCTCAGACAAAAGATCAGATTCTCAAGAAAATTTTCATAGAAAAAAAGCTATCTGTTCAAGCTGTTTAGGTTATATTATACACGGTATTAATAAATTTGAAGCAAAAAGCTATTTAATACTAGATTGCCCAAGGAAGTCATTTTAACTGTTTTTAATTTCAATTAGAAAAGCAATGATGTACATAATGACACAATTTCTT